TTTATAGCCTCGGAAACCCTGTACAGGATTCCTATGAGTAGAACCGACTCCACGGCACATAACCACCACACCACCACCACTAGTGAATGTTTTGATCAAAAACTCAATAACTAAATCCTGATCAAAAGGGATAAAAATGTGGAACATAATTTCAAATTCTTATGACTTATAAAATTTACTGAGAATGGAGGAACTCTGAATTAATTGCTTGGAGTAAATCTTTAATCCTTGAACCAAAACCACCTCCTTAAGTCAACTTAAATTTAAACAACACTTTGGCTAAATTAGTAGAACAGTCACTTTGAGCATTTCAGTCTTTTAAAGACTTACCACTATTAGATCAAATTGACAATAGTAACTCTAAAGCAGAGATGAGACACTTCAAACAAACAAACAAAACAAATTCATGGCTGTGAAGTCAATTCTGACTCACAGAGTCCCTGTGTAGGACAGAGGAACTTTCCCACAGTGCTGCCATCTTTACTGAAGCAGACTGCTGTATCTTTTACCCACAGAGAGGCGTCTGGGTTAGGTTCAAACCATGGACTTTTTGGTTAGCAGCTGAGCACTTAATACTGTGCCCTCAGGGCTACTTCAGTGAGATGTTTGTTGCTGTGTGCCATCAAGTCGATTCTGACTCAGCAACCCTGTATAGGGATTACTAGGAGTTGCTGGTAGGTTTGAACCACCAACTTTCTGGTTAGCAATCCAGCGCTTACCCTACAGCACTACCAGGCCTCTTGTGAGATGTTGGTTGCTATTATTAAATGTCATTGAATCAGTTCTACTCACTGTTTTGTTGTTGTTAACTGCTGTCAAGTCAATTCCAATTCACAGCAACCCTGCATAGGGTTTCTGAGGAGGGCTGGTGAGTTTGAACTACCGACCTTGAGGTTCAAACTGACCTTGCGGTCCAGTGCCTATCCTTCAGTGCCATACCAGGAGTCCTGTTAGGACTCACAACAACCCAGTAGAGGGTTTCTAAGGAGCAGCTGGTACATTTGAACTGCCTTGTGATTAGCAGTCCAATGCTTACCCTATGGCACTATACCAAGACTCCAATGAGATGTTTGTTGTTGTTGTTAAGTGCCATTGAGTTGGTTCTGACTCATATCGACTCTGTATAGGGTTTCAGAGGAGCAGCTGGTGAGCTTGAGCAGTTCAAACCAACTCTGTAGTCCAGTGCATTAACCCACAGAGGTAGTAAATCCAAGTCAATGGTGGTGAAGCAGCATGTGTAAAGACAGCAGAAATGGTGATACAACATGAAGAATACAATATCATAGGACTGTGCATGCAGAAATTATTGAATGGAAATATGTTTTGCTGTGTATATTTTCACCAAAAATGAAACAATTTCTTAAAATTTTTAAATAGAAAGCAATTTCTTCCCTTAGTAATTACCTCTCAGCTACCCTTTCCCCATCTAAGTAGAATCTAATCTAGGTGGTTCAGTCTTGGGCCTCATCTGAGGAGCCATGTATGAAGGGCTTAAATCATATCTCCAGAGGCTCTACAGAGTCAAAGAGCTCCAGTAATAGATACCAAGGTGTAATCCAGTCAGTACTCTGAGTCTGGGTTACTGTCACAAAGAATGCTATGCCTAAACTGTCACAAAGAATGCTATGCCTTTTTGAATGTGGCCATAGAAGCTGATAGCAATGAGATTCGGAGGGATCTCTCTTTGAGGGCAGCAAAAAAAATATAACATTTAAGATGGGAAAAGGTAAGAGAAAAAGCAATGCAGATTCTGACAATAAAACTGAAGTGAACTCTGAACTGCAGGTTAAGACTTAGGAAAGGTCTGTATCGTTTGCTACTCAAGGAACCTATAAGTGCTGCCTTAGCCCAAACAGCTGTTGCTGTTGTTATAAAGTGTTGTCTAGTCAGTTCTGACTTGTAGTGACTCTGTATAGGGTTTCTGAGGAGTGGCTGGTGGGCTTTAACTGGTAGCCTTGCAGTAAGCAATTCAGTGCTTATTCTACAGTGCTACACAAGGACTTTAGGGCACTGTTATCCCAGAAACTAAATCAGAAAAATTAGAAGGCCAGAGCTGGCCCTATACAAGCTTACCAAAACCAGTTCTCCAGCCCCTAGTCTCTTCTACATTATCCTTACTTGATAAATCACCCTTCTGCCCCTGTATTCTCTCCTTGCTCTTCAACTTGTAAGGCATCAAATGATCTCTTGCTGTCCCTATCCACCCCAATTTAAAACCTGCTCAGACAATGAAGTCATTCAGAGTAAAGGAAAAGATTGGTGAGCCCCATGATATACTATCAATCAGTCCATCCTTCATCCCTCCACTTCACAGTGGGTATGTGACCCAGGATGGGTCAATAATCTCTGAACATAATGTCTGTAGGCACGCAATGTAAGCAAAGTGGGTTTGTTTACCACCAGGTCCTTTGCTCACAGGGCCCTGCTGTACTCTGTATCATAGGAAACTGAGTCCTGCAGGCTTCTAACCAACTACAGTCATTGGAGAGAGAGAATGATGGGGAACTGCAGGGCAGGGAAAGGGGGAGCCAGGGTATTTCTGCCTAGAACAGCAGTGCAATTAGCCAAGTAGTGCAATTAACTTCTTAGGCTAACTGAAAGGTTGAAGGTTTGAATTGCCCAGAGATACCTGAGAAGAAAGGCCTATCACTGAAAACCCTGGCAACTGGTTTATGTTTTGTTTTGCCTAGGGCAGGCCACCTCCCCTTGGCTCCTGCTCCCATGATTGGCCTGCATGGTTTCAGTCCCAGCCACTGGCACTGGAAGTTCTTCTTTCTCACTTTGTCTATTTCTGTTGCTAATCTCTGAGTTTCAGCAATGCTCTCCCACTTTGACTCCTAGCTTTTTCGTATCATGTGATTAATTGCCTGTCTTAAATTTCTTCTATTTTCAATATTTCAAGTGCTTTCTGTTTTCCTGGTTGGACAATGACTAGAATTAGAGTTATTCCATTAGATTTGATCTGTGTGCTAAGAGGAAAGAGTCTCTTTGCCTGTTGTTGTATAAAATGTAGGATTATGGAGCCAATGGCCAATTTCCAGCCACCCAAACTGATTTGAGAAGAAAGGCAAACAGAGCCAAGAAACAGGGACAGAAAACAAAACAAAAACACCCTACTACTTTCTTTGCTCTAACTAGACCTAAAACTAGGATTATTGTATATTTTATATTTGCACCTAAGACCCCTGGGTGGCACAGATGGTTTGTGCTTAACTAGTAACCTACAGGTTGAAGGCTTAAACTCCATCTAGTGGCACCAGGAAGAAAGGCCTGACAATGTGCTTCCATAATGATTACAGCAAGAAAAACAATGGAGCAGTTCTACTCTGAATCAGAATTAGCACAACAGCAATGGGTTTGTACTTTGTTCTTGTTTTTTATATTCCAAATCCAGACACATTTGAGAGTAAACAAGGCTCCTAATAATAATTAAGGCAGAACAGGCAAACCAAAATAAACCTTGGACTTTATAGTTAATTGAGCCATTAAATTCTCTTTGATCTTTAACGTAATTTGAGTTAGATTTCTATCACTAAAGTACAAAATTCTTTACCAGTGTATAAAATAAAGACTTAAATCCAAACAATTATTTCCTAGTGGTAGGAATTCAGGGTCTGTAGGAGAACATCATTGTTTCCTTTACAACTAAGACCATCATTAGCCTCTACAACTAGCTTAGACAACTCTTACGTTTTTGGTACAGCCACCCAGGAACATTCTATCTAATTTTGCATGCTATAACCCAAAAGTGAAAAGAAAACAACTAAAGAATATAGATCCCGTCTGAAGCTAACCATCTCTTTGGTGATATTTTTTTTTTTTTCTTCCACGTTTAAAGTGGAATTTTCTTGAGGTTTATTTTAAGTGCAAATTGTGATTTTATAATTTTATAAAATTATAATCTTATAATTTCCTGTGCCCCACCCCCATCTCAGTGCAGCATTATGCCACTAACAACACCAGCATCAGAGAACTGCTTTTCTTCTTTACACTCATCTCTTAATTTTTCCATTCTCTAGTGAAGTCTCAATTGTACTATAGGTTAAATAGATTTTTGTTTCTAGGCTTGCCTAGGAAACTTACAATCATTGCTATAAAAATAAGTTCTTTACGGCATAGTGAGAAGGGTTTGCCACAGCTCACAAGACATTTTTTAGATCCTTCGGTGCGGTCACAGCAGCTGCTTGTCTGTTACATCAAGGACATTCAAAGACTCTCTTTCTTCTATCCAGTGGGAATGCTGTCAACCTGAGGTGGCCACTATTGCTTAGGAATCACACTCATAATTCAAGTGTTTGAAATTTCACGAGCACTTACATCTTTTGTAATCCATAAGGAGGAATTGTCACTAACTTCAATGTTGAGGTTTCTGTCATTTCATTAATTTAAAAAACAGCATTTATTAAGAACTGGAGGGAAATATCAGGAGATTTTACTAGCCAACTGACCTGTCCAGGTGTCACTGCCCATATCTTATACCTCTAATCACAAAATATGGTTTCTTTTTTGTTTAACACAAAACATCGTTTTCCACAGGTTAGATTACTGCAAATTCTGTAATTGAAAATAAGCAAGCACACACACATTTTAAATGTTTACAGATCAAAAAATATGATACATAGAAACAACTCCCCGTAATGTTCCTCAGGAGTCATATTTTCTGGAAGGAGAATTTTCATTCTTATGTATAGTAGCATGTAAAATAATTTCTTCCAAGTTCTATGTTTTTATAAAAAATTTTCACATAGATGTTATGATTTAAGACACAAGGTAATTTTGCAAGCTTTAGGTAATTCTTTACTTTATTTGGCTAAGAAACAGAAAAACTACCAAATCCATTATCCATGATGAAAATAAACAGCAAGTTTTACCTAATTCTTAAACTGAGTACAACATATTGAGGGCGAGTTTCTGGGAGCACTCTGCAACAAAGGAAGGAGAATAAATGGAAATGCATGGATGTTGAATAAAAAAAGGACCACAAAGGAAAGACTTACTGTCTATGTGCTTGAGTTTGAGAGGTCACTGTTAGAGAATGACTTTTCCTCCGTAAACAAAGATGGTTCCAGTAACCTAAAGTTTTCATTTAGGGTTGGAATTGACCTGACCAGATTATACATCCTTAAGCGTAACCTCAGTGGAGTCATCGGTGGCAGTGACTTCACACTTCCAACGGATGATGAAAGCGATTTCAACATTTTGGAAGCTTCGCTCTGGAAGACTTTTGTTCTAACAGTATAGAAGATAAAAATTTGCAAGCCCTGCAGAGAAAATGAAAGTTTGATGTGACTACTGGGGTACAGAATAAAGGAAGAGATTTGATTTCACTTTTCCACCACCCCGTCTCACCTTGTACAACCACGCCCCTTTTGATTTTACCAACTGCTGCACACATTTTCATCTAAGAGGGTAGAGGCAAAGTCCTTCTCATACAAAAAGTACTGCATGTAACAGTGGTATGTGACCCAGTCACAGACATGACTCTGGGTCAGCCCCTGGTTTTCCACTTGCTGACGCGTAACTTGGCTCATATTTTTAAATTCCTATGATCTTTGGTTTCCTGAAGGGAGTAGTTTGCCTGTGTGGTTTCTAATTCCTCTTCCAGTTCTAGCACTCTATGATTTTACATTTGCTGGAGTTTCAGTTACATAGCTAGAAATTTGGTGTACTTATGGACAAAATTTGTAAAAGCCCTCCTATTCGTTGCATTTTACACTGAATCTATGCAGCCCAGATGCACACGAGGAATTAATCCACAAAAGGTTGAGTACTATTTTCAGTACTATTTTAAAGTAGAAAATACCAATTATTGCACAGACACTTGCTTTTGTTGTCTCTTTTAGCGCGCGTAGTGGTTACAAACTGGGCTGTTAACTGCAAGGTCAGCAGTTTGAAACTACCAGCCGTTCTGCAGGAGAAAAATGAGGCTTTCTGCTCCTGTGAAGATTTACAGCCTCAAAAACTCTGTACAGGGTCACTACGAGTTAGCACCGACTCCACGGCATAACTACCACCACCATCAAGCCTATAAAAGAAATCTTACTATAGTTTAAAGATATACAGTCCCAGAAATCCTATTAGGGTTGCTACAGAATTCTGGATGGTGTTGTAGGATAAGCACTGTACTGCTAATCACAAGGTCAGTGGTTCAAGACCACCAGCTGATCCTTGAAAACTGTATACAGGGTCACTATTAACCAAAACGGACTCAACAGCACTTAACAACAACAATAACATGAGTCAGAATTGAGTCAATGGTAGCAGGTTTGATTGGGGGGATCACCATTTGACATTTGAGAAACTAAAGCCAAATAAATTAAATAACTTGCCTAAGATTTCTTCTTCTTAGCTGCCACTGAGTCATGGTGACCCCAAGAACACAGAACTTAAATGTTGTGATTCATATGGTCATCTGCTGGAATTTTGGAATTAGATCTCCAGGACTTTCTTCCTAGTCTATCTTAGTCTGTAAGTTCCACTGATACCTATTCAATACCATAGCAACTCTGACAGACAGTGGAGGATGTACTTGAGGTGCACTAGCAAGGAATGAAACTCAAGTCTTCCACATGGAAGGCAAGAATGTTGAGCCCATGCTGCCACTTGTTCAAGATTGTCTAACAAGTAATTGGTAGAGTCAAGAATAGAATCATCACATGTTTGGCTCCAAAGTCCCTCCTCTATCCAATATACTATGCTGACTCATGCGTGTAACTATAATAACAATAATAATAATAATAATAATAAAGGTAGATTATAGAGTCTATGATGCCTATATGAAGAGAAACAGCTGTAAATATCCATTAATAATTGGAACATGGGAAGTATGAAGTATGAACCTAGGAAAATTGTTGTTAAGTGCCATCAAGTTGGTTCTGACCCATAGCAACCCTGTATAGGGTTTCCAAGGAGTGGCTGGTGACCTTGAACCACCAACCTTTCATTTCAAACTGACTCTGCAGTCCAGTGCAGTAACCTACAGCGCCACACCAAGAAAATTAGAAGTTGTCAAAAATAAAATGGAAAACATAAAAATCGGTATTGTAGGCATTGTTGTTGTTATTAGGTGACATCGAGTCAGTACCAACTCATAGCGACCCTACACACAGCAGAATGAAACACTGCCCGATCCTGGGCCAACCTCACATTAGTGAGCTGAAATGGACTGGTAGTGGCCATTTTTAATCTGATAATCGTATGGTTTACTATGCTTGTTGTTGTTGTTAAGTATCATTGAGTCAATTCCGACTCATAGTCACCCTGTATAGGGTTTCCAAATAGCAACTAGTGAGCTTGAACCACTGAACCATGGCATAGTATTCACCATCAAAAGGAGTATTTCAAGATCTATCTGGAATTATAATATTGTCTGAAATAGAACAATATCCACACACCTAGAAGGAATACCAGTAATGCCACTATTCTTCAAATGTATGCACCAACCACTAAATTCAGTGATAATGAAAAAGTACCATGGACTGCTAGAAGAACAAACAAATCTGTTTTGGAAAAGGTACAGCCAGAATATTCATTAGAAGTCAGGATGGCGAGACTTCGTCTATCATACTTTGAACATATTATCAGGAGGGACCAGTCCCTAAAGAAAGATATCATGCTAGGTAAAGTGGAGGTTCAGAAAAAAAGAGGAAGACTCCCAGTGAGATGGATGGGCACAGTGGCAGCAGCAATGGGCTCAAGCTTAACAATAATTGTGAGGATGGCACAGGGTCAGGCAATGTTTCATTCAGTTGTGCATAAGGTCGTTAGGAGTTGGAACCAATTCAACAGCACCTAACAACAGCAACACCGACTTCTTAAGTCTGAATTAAATCAAACATGCAACTATGATGTATTGGTAATTGCTGGTAATTAGAATGTAAAGGCTGGAAACAAATATGAAGATCAGTCGTTGGAAAATATGACCTTGGTGATAGAAAGGATGCTTAGAGATCCTATGATAGAATTTTGAAAGACCAATGACTTATTCATTACAAATATCTTTTTTAAACAACAGAAAAGATGACTAAACACATGGACCTCACCAGATAGAACATGCAGAAATCAAATTGACTATATCTGTGGAAAGAGGCAGTGGAAAACCTCCATATCATCAGCCAAAACAAAGCCAAGGGCAGATGTGGAACAGACCATCAATTGCTCATATGCAGGTTCAGGCTGAAACTGAAGAAAATTAAAACCAGTCCACAAGAGTCAAAATATGATTTTGAACATATCCCACCGGAATTCAGAGATCATCTCAAGAACATATTTGATACATTAGACTTTGAAGACTGAAGACCAATAGAGTTGTGGGATGACATCAAGGACATCATACGGAAGAAAGCAAAAGGTCATTAAGAAATCAAGAAAGAAGGAAAAGACCAAAATGGCCGTCAGAAGAGATTCTGCAATTTGTTCTCTAGTATAGAGATGCGAATGGGAATAGAAGCAATGAGGAGGTAAAAGAGCTGAACAGAAAATTTCAAAAGTCAGCCCGAGAAGACAAAGTCAGCATCCTGACATATGATTAAGAGTCAGTGGTACTTAAGGAAGAAGTCCAAGACGTGCTAAAGGCATTGGCAAGAACAAGACTTTAGGAATTGGTGAAATACAAATTGGAATCTTTCAACAAACCAATGCAGCACTGCAGGCACTCACTCATCTATGCCAAGAAATTTGGAAGAAAGTTTCCTGGCCAATTGTTTAAAAGATCCATATTTGTGCGCATTTCAGAGGTGACCCAATGGAATTCAGAAATCATAGGACAGTATTATTAATATCACATGCAAGTAAAATTTTACTAAAGATAATTTAAAAATGGAAGCAACAATACATTTACAGAAACAGCCAGAAAGATGTTTACTAACGATGCCAAGGCTTTTGACTGTGTGGATCATGACAAGCCATGGAAAACATTGCAAGAACAGATGTTTTAGAACACTTACTTGTGCTCATGAAGAAACTGTATATAGACCAAGAGGCAGTTGTTCAAACAGAACAAGGGTACATTGAATGGATTAAAATCAGGTGTGCACCAGGGTTGTATGGTTTCATCATACACTTATTCAATCTGTATGCTGAGCAAACAGTCTGAGAACTCGATTATATGAAGAAGAATGTGGCATCATGATTGAAACAAGATTCATTAACAACTTGTGATATGCAGATGATACAGCTTTGCTTGATGAAAGCAAAGACTACTTAAAATAACTTACTGATGAAGATCAAAGACCACAGCCTTCAGTATGGATTGCACATCAATGTAAATTAAACAAATATCCTCACCACTGGACCAATAAATAACATCATGATAAATGCAGAAAAATTGAAGTTTTCTAAGATTTCATTTTGATTGGATCCACTATCTTGAAGTAGAGCAGACAAGAAATCAAGTGATTTATTACACTAAGCAAATCTGCTGCACAAACCTTTTTTAAAGTGTTCAAGAGCAAAGACATCAGTTTGAGGACTAAAGTGCACCTGACCAAAGCCATGGTATCTTCAGTAGCCTTGTATGCATGTGAAAGTTGGACACTGAATAAGGAAGACCATAGAAGAATTGATTCATTTGAATTGCGATGTTGGAGAAGAAAATTAAAAGTACCATGGAGTGTCAAAAGTATGTTGGAAGAAGTATAGCCAGAATGCTCCTTAAAAGCCAGATGGTAAGACTTCATCTCTCATACTTCAGACACAGTATCAGTAGGGACCAGTTCCTGGATAAGGACTTTATGCTTGGTAAGTGGAAGGTCAGCAAAAAAAAGGTAGACCACCAATGAGATGGATTGGCACAGTGGCAGCAGCCATGGGCTCAACCTTAACAACATTTCTAAGGATGGAGCAGGACTGGGCAGTGTTTTGATGTATTGGGCATAAGGTTACTATGAGCATGAACTGACTCAAAGACACATCTGTGACTGAGTTGATAACAATGATAATTATGTATAATAGTTTGTAATGTTTATAATACTATGTCAATTTCCTGATTTTGAAAATCTTATCATTGATGGATACTGGGTGAAAAGTGCACAGGTACTCCACTATCATTACAACTTCTTATGAGTATTAACTTTTGTCAAAATAAAAAGGTTATTTTTAAAATCTGAGAAATGTCTCCCAGATTAACATCTATAGGACCCGAAGCCTTATAAAGATAAATTTCAAAAACCGTATCTCGTGAGTGCTATTATAGGAGACTGCCAGTGCTATGATAAGAGAATGGGACACAGTGGCAGCAGCAATGGGTTCAAGCGTAGCCGCAGTTGTGAGGAGGGCGCGTGACTGGGTGGTGTTTCATTCTGTTGTGCATGGGATCGCAATGAATCAGAACTGACTGGATAGTATCTAACAACAACAACAGCATGAGTTAGAATCAACTAAATGGCAGTGTGTTTGGATACAAGACTGAAGGAGCCTTGGGGAAGCAGTGGTTCAGGTGCTAATGAAAGGCCAGTGGTTTAAACCTACAGTCTATACTGTGGTAGGAGGATATGGCTGTCGGCTTTCATATAGTTTACGACTGGAGTTTCTGGAGTCCTGGTGTGGTGCTGTAGGTTAATGAGCTGGGCTGCAAACTCAGTTTGAACTACAAGGTTGGCGGTTCAAGCTCACCAGTAGCTCCTTGGAAATCCTACACAGGGTTGCTATGGGTCCGAACCGATTCAACAGCACTTAACAACAACAACAACACCATGTATATTACTAAGATGTAAAAAAAAATTATAACCACAAAACAGATGATCATAAATCCAGTTTTCTGTAACTACAATAAATCAAAGACTAACTGAATGCTACTATATGAGTAGAAATTGACTCAAAGGCACATAACAATAACATAGGAGTTTGGGTTGTGCAGTTTGTGATCTGCTGCTAACCAAAAGGATGACAGTTCCAAACCACCCATCAGCTCCAGGGAAGAAAGTCTTGGCCAAACTGCTTCTATAACAGTTAATCAAGTCAACTTAAAGGAACCGTTTTACTTTGTAACAGATGAGATCACCACTACCCAAAGCTGCTGTTGAATCTATTTTAACTCCTAGCGAACCAATAGGACAAAATAGAATGGCCTCATAGGATTTCCTAGGCTGTAAATTTTATGAAGGACTCCTGGTGTGATGTTGTATGTATGATAAGCACTAAACTGCAAACCACAAGGTCAGCAGTTGAAACCCATCAACTGCTCCTCTGACACCCTACACAGGGTCACTATGAGTCTGGACCAACTCAATGGCACTTAACAGCAACAACAATCTTTATGAAAGTAGATTGCTTCTTTTTCCCATGGAGAGGCTAGTAGGTTCAAATCACTGAAGTTTTGGTTAGCAGCCAAACAGCATTCAGAACACTTAAAAAGAAGAAAAGTTTGGTCTCTGTATGGTAAGCACTGGACTTCAAACCTTAAAGTTGGCAGTTCAAGCCTACCACTTGCTCTGCGGAAGAAAGAATTTTAGAGTCTCTGAAAACATATACAGGATCACTAATGAGTAAGAACCAATTAGATGGCACATAATCGCCAGGGTGATTTCATCTCCACTTCTACACAGTCTCCTTTTTTCAGAGCCATCCATACCATACCTGAGTAGTGTTGAAAAGGCAGAATATGTAGCTGAAGATGATAGTGATGTTCTCATTACCAAGTAGCATAAAATACGCCAGTAACCAGGTAATTCCAAAAACCACTGCAATAGATAGAGTGCTAAGAATTTTCTTTATGGATGAAATCTTTTTGGTGCTAGATGAGAGATAGTAAGAGAGAAAATACAGTTAATTCAGATCTTTACCTTTTAATATCTAAGTAATTAGCCTCCTATTTGGAACGCACATTCAACTGTTCATACATACTCAATATTATGCCTCAGGTGACAAACTTGATTGCAATGAGTTTTTGTTTTGCTTTGGTTTTTGGTTTTATGTTTGTATTGTTGTTAAGCGACATTGAGTCAGTTCTGACTCATAGCGACTCTGAATATGTTTCTGAGGAGCAACTGATGAACTTGAGCCGCTGAGCTTGTGGTTCAAACCGACCTTACAGTCCAGCGCATTAACCTGCAATGCCACGGTCCTCAATAATTGCAAAGTATGTTTTAGCTGTTGTAAAAGGTCATCACAAAGCATCCTAGTATCAGAGTCACACTGATACTTGCTAATCATTTCAAAAGTTTCTGACTTGGTGTGAACTCCCCTAGCAAAAATTTTTCTTCTGCAAAAGCTTTCAAAGGGTACAAGAGCTTTAACTTTTGAGATGACCTTTCTGGATACCTGTCTCCATTTGCTGGAGTCCTGGTGTGGCTCTGTGAGTTAATGCATTGGACAGCAAAGTCAGTTTGAACCATGAGGTCGGTGGTTCAAGCTCATCAACTGCTCCTTGGAAATCCTATACAGGGTTGTTATGGGTTAAATCAATTAGATGGCACTTAACAACAATCTCCATTCAATAGAAGTTTCCTTAGAAACTCGGTTAAATTGAAAAAGTGCTTCTGACATTTACTAATCCAAAATCCAATGAGTAGCTTTGTATATATTTGGATGTTGTTGTTGTTAGGTGCCATTGAGTCAGTACTGACTCATACTGACCCTATACACAATAGAATGAAACACTACCTGGTCCAGGGCAACCTCACAATCATTGTTACGCATGAGTCTATTACTGTTACCACTGTGCAAATCCATCTCATTGGGCTTCTTTCTTCCTCTTCTTCTCTCACCCTCCATTTTACCAAGCATGATATCCTTCTCCAGAGACCAGTCCCTCTTGACAATATGTCAGAAGTATGAGAGATGAAGCCTAGCTATAATGGCTTCCAGGGAGCATTCTGGCTGTATTTCTTCCAACACAGATCAGTTTGTTCTTTGGGAAATCTGTGGTACTTGTAATATTCTCCAACATTGTAACTCAACCTGTGATATGCCGATGATACAACCTTGCTTGCTGAAAGTGAAGAGGACTTGAAACATTTACTGATGAAGATCAAAGAGCACAGCCTTCGATATGGATTGCATCTCAATGTCA